CAGTTTCTTGACAACAAGCATGTGTTCAATTTGCAAACGTTAGTTTCTTTCAACTATACTGAAAAAATGCTTATCATACAGTTTTTGATATACGAAACTTATGCGAAAAGCATATTTTCGACGAAAAACCAAACCCATTTTTTCTTACATCAGCAAAAATTCAATAAAACTTTGAAATAACTCTTTTTTTTGAAGCTGAAAACAAAAATTAGGCTTTTTTTTTACTTTAAAAAAGATTTCATAATTCTGCTGAACAATTTAACTTGTTCTCAATCTGTAAAAACATTAAACAAAAGCCCATTTGACCCTACCAATGATAATATTCAGTTTTTTTTCTTAAATTTTAATTTTGTCTCTGCATAAAAGCTTATCCCACAATATTCATATATGATAATTTTTATGATAAACTGTTTTCGATCAAAAAACAAAAAATGATTGCTTATAATGCTCTTTATTGCTCGGAATATAACAATTCTCATAAAAAGTATTTTTTGACTCTGTCTATGATCAGCTTTAATTGATTCAAAAAATTTTTCAATTTTTTCTCTCGAAATTACAATGATAAGCCTTTTTTCGACCAAACGATGCAAAATGATTTTATCAAAATACTGAAATTTTCAATTTTTCTCTCGAAAAAATGCTAATCATACAATTTTTCATTTATAAATTTTTCAATTAATTGTTCATCATATAATTATCAAACTGACCTCAATATTCAAATACTCATAATATTGTCAAATAAACTCATTTTAAACTTATTTTGAATGGTTTTTAAATAATTTACTTGTCCATCAAGTTTCATAAATTAAAAACGTTTAATAAAATTGAATTTTTTTTGATGACCAGTTAGCTTTAAAATCGTCAAGTAGACCACATATCTTAAACAAAATTTTTTAAAAAATTTTGAAATTTTGAATGAAAATTGTATAACAAGCTTTTTTATCCATCGACGCCATATATGAATTTTTATGACGAGCATTTTTTTCTGTGAACGTCAACCCGGGTAACTCTCGAAACGATAAATTTCTGCACTTTATAGCAACAACAATTAATAGCTGCAAACTCGAACTTACCGGTTTTGACAAGATTGGATTGGGATCGATTTTAGTACAAAGAAGTACGTTGATTAAACTTAGATCGAGTTTAGTATGAAAAAAGTACAAAGATTAAATAAAAAAGATGAAGATTGATTTAGATTGATTTAAAATCGATTTGAGTTGATCTTAAAGCCCAGCTTAAAAAATTGATCCAAATCGATTTTGAATCTACTTAAATGCGTTTTTTTTTCAGACTGAATTAGTTTTTATATTTAAGGAGATTAAAACTGATTTAAATCGTTTTTTCTTCATTCCAGATTTATAAGTTTTGTATTTTTATTGCATTTATCTATTGCTAATCATTTTTCATTATACAACCATAGCGTATTGTAGCATCAAAAAGACCAAACAAAAAACCAAAATATCGAAAAAGTTCTATGATTTTCTTGCATACATTGAGTTCAAAAACTGATCTATATTGATTTTTTTCCTTATTTCTTTTAAAAGTTTTGCTCAAATTCTTCATAATTTTGACCCTTTTCTTCTTTGTAACATAAGATTTGCAAAATTTTTCTATAATTTCATTGCCTTTTTCGAGCTTAAAATCTGATTTATGTGGATCATTTTTTTGAATTATATAAAATCTGACACGAGTATTTATATTTAAACATCAAGAATAAAAAAAATCACTATTTTTTAAGGGTATGTTTTTTCGCCATGTTTGCGAAGAAATTGATTTTAGTGGGTCTAAAAACCCATCCAAATCGATTTAAATCGATTTTTTAGACACTTAAATTGATTTAAATTTTTTAAAAAGATCGATTTAAATTGATTTAAAATGGATTTAAGTGAGTTTTGGATGGATTTCAGTGAGTCGGAAAATCCATCCAAATCGATTTGAATCAATTTTTTAGACACTTGAATCGATTTAAAATTTCTCAGTGCGGACATTCAAATCTGAACTGTAAAAAAAACGGTTAAAGTAGGTCAAATGAGTATATAACCCCTCGAGTATACTTGAACAAAGTTAGCGCAAGGTGGGAGTCGAACACGGTCGAGCGCGGTTTTGACCGGTATCATATACGTTAGGCTATAGCCTTGTTTTCGTACAAGCTTTTCACTTTTATTTACGTTCGCATTTACTTTTGCGCTGCAACAAGAGCTAATTACTCCGTCACTTTCTTAGAAAGTCGAAAGAAGAGTGATTTGCACTCCAATTACAAAAGAAATAAATGAATTTCACTTCTTTTGAGAAAAAATAGAAAATCGGTTCAAAGTATTCTTTTATAACTAATGGAGAATAGTTTTCATTGCATTAAAAACAGTTACTTTATAATCCAATTTTATATAAAAAATAATCAATTGTTTTCAATTTTTCGATTGACAGACTGTAAACGTCTAAGGAAAATTGATTACTATAATTGAAATTTCGGTTCAGTATTGTTTTAGTTGCGAACTCTCCCGATGATTGTGTTTTCTGGTCAGATGATCCGGCAAAAATAATCAGTAGTAAAATGTCTCAGTTCATGTTTTTCAACGCGTTAAGAAGTCGCGATGTTTCAAAAGTGATGTTTTCACTGAAAGTACTCGCACAGATGACGAGTGAGAAATGTGAAATAGAATTAAAAGACTCATATGGATCTAGATCATGATTAGCTTAATTGCAAAATCAAACAAACGCAAGTGATAAAGTTACAACGGGCATCTTAAGACACCTGCTGTCCTTGTTTCGTGGAGGAAAAATCAAAAGTGAACCTGCAGTACATGAGATAGTTCTATGGATTGATTCCAATCAAATAACAGCCGATGAAATCACGAAATATGAATGGGAAGTCCAGATAGATATCTGGAAGATGCGGCTGAGTATTTCAAACAGATAAAAGTATGATCACTTTTTGATCAAGTTTCGACGATAGAGGAATTATACATAATACCATTGGCGCAGCAAACACTGGTTTGCTTAATCTCATAATGCAACTTCTGAGTGAAAACAGCAAAAGCGTTCTCAAATGGGAACTGAACAATTTTTTTTACAAATAAGAATGAGCTTCAAAAATATGAGATTACTAACGTTTATTTTAACCGCAATCACATAGATGGGTTTGTTAAATACGGAATTCTTGGTCCTTTTCTTTGCCCACTTGATTTCCATCAAAGAGAAAACTTCAGTTTCATATCGTTTAAATGTTTATCAATATTTTATGAATCGATTTCTGTGGACGCGAAAATAGGAAATTACTATTTGACACTTCTAAAGAACAATGGCTGGAACAATGGCATACTTTATAGTGCCTGCAAGATTGAAAAGCATCTACAAAATGTTTAGAATTTTAACTTTCTCAGAAGTATCATCATATATAAGCAGATGCTTATTTCGTTCATTTGAAAGACTTTCAATCAGTTCAAAAGCTACTCTTTGCATAAGGTTGAAGTTTTTTTTTGCAGTTGACGGAAATTAAGATGAAAATTTCAATAAGAGTTAAAAAAATGTCAATTTTGGATTAAAACAAACCAGTTTTTAAGCAATCAAAAATCAGATGATGAAGTTTTCCAGATTCGACCAACAAGGGTAAAAAAATATTTTTTTGTTCATAGTTTTGGAGAAAGCAAAATATAACCGACAGTCACTGATAAAATTCAAAGTTTCGTTTCTTCATATTTGGTTGGTAATATTTTTTGAACGATTGCATATAGTATCATTAAAAATATAACAAAAAAATTGCACAGAATATTTGAAAAAAATAACACAATTTTTCTCACCTTTGATCACCTTGAAGGTTCATGTTTATATGTCTCTTCGTCAAAAACAAAACTATAATAAACTATGGGCTATTGCTATGATTGGTTGTCTCAATACTAGAAGGAAACAAAATACATTGATTAAATAGATGTGTTTCTTTCTGCTCAGTGAAGAGTTTTTGCATGATAAATGAATAGCGGCACGTGTTCAGACACATTTTCATTTCTGAATAAAAAATTTCGAATGTTTGGGCATGCGTAGTAATTTATATTTGGTAACCGTATGTGACTCATATCTGATAAACTTTTGTTCGATTCACAACTTTTGGCAATAAATTGCGTTTTTGAAGCTCTTAGGTTTTTTTCAAAAAAATTTTAATATAATTTTCATAAGCACTGCTCAATTTGTTTCAATGAAGACTCTCTGTAAAAGAAGCAGATAGGGATGTTGCTTTGATTTTCTTGGGAGAAAGAAAGGAGTACCCTGCATTCTCTCCATCCTCAAAATTTCTCAAATCTATGACAATAGTGTATATTGTTTTCATTGCGCTCAATATCCAAAACAACCAGGTTCAAGATTCAACCTATTTTCTCCTGTGACAAGACTAACACCCGACTTTGCACATACTGTTGAAGCGAATGTTTTCAAAAAAAAACAAGAAACAACCAACCATGTGACCAAGATCAAATAAACTCGGAAAGCTAGGTGAAACTTACATTATACATCACAGTAGATTTGACAGATCAAGCAGAAACACGAAGAATAACCTTAAGAATAAAACTTTTAATTTTGCCAAAAAGATTATAGAGTCACTTCCGGATAAAAATTGACCGCCGCACGGAAACTATTACTTTACCTTCAAAATTATGTCCAGGTCTGAAACAAAACGGGTTCAAAGAGAAACACTTTTCTGTTCGAGGAGAAACGTTTTGCTTATTGTTTTAAAAAAACTGAGAATTTGACAGAGTATCTGGAATTTCAATTTTTATTCTGCTTTCGTGATAGATTTTTTGAATACTCCGAATACATTAGGTTGAGTTCCTATCAAAATGAATGATTTATAATTCAGCTACATCAGATAGGATGATATCCATTTTGGCATTCTTTTACGTTAAAAAAAATTTATCAAGAAATTTGGCTAACTTTTTATATCTAAATTATTGGAACATTTATAATTTCAGCTTAATTTTGGTCCTCTTTTAAAAAAAGTATTCTTCGGCTTTTTTTTCAGACAAATCGTGACATTTTTATTCAAAAAAGGACCAAAATTAATCTGAATTTATAAATGTTGCAATAATTTTTTTTGCGAAGCCAGAAAACGAAAAACTTTTTACCAGAACTTGATACTATAGAAAAATTAGCAAATGTTTTCAGAATTTCAGGAATTTGGAAATCACTGTATTTTGTTCAAAAGATTCCTCATTTCTCAGTTCCTTCAAAATAATAAGATTTCAGATGCATATCTAAGAGGCCTATGCATAGTATAATGATGGATATAAAAAAGATCTTCGTTTATTTTGTTTTGTGTAAGTTTTGTTCAGTTGCTGCAAGAAAATAGGAAATGTACAAACAAATTTTTTTCAACAAACTAAAATATCAGTTTCTTGACAACAAGCATGTGTTCATTTTGCAATTGTTAGTTTCTTTCAACTATACTGAAAAATGCTTATCATACAGTTTTGATATACGAAACTTATGCGAAAAGCATTTTTCGACGAAAACCAAATCCATTTTTCTTACATCAACAAAATTCAAAAAAAACATTGAAATAATTCTTTTTTTGAAGCTGAAAACAAAATTAGGCTTTTTTTTCGACTAAAAAAAAGATTTCATAATTATGCTGAACAATTCAACTTGTTCTCAATCTATAAAACATTAAACAAAAGCCCATTTGACCCTACCAATGATAATATTCAATTGTTTCCTTAAATTTTAATTTTGTCTCTGCATAAAAGCTTATCCCACAATATTCATATATGATAATTTTATGATGAACTGTTTTCGAACAAAAAAAAATAATAAAAAAATGATTGCTTATAATGCTCATTATTGCTCGGAATATACCAATTCTCATAAAAAGTATCATTGACTCTGTCTCTGATCAGTTTTAAATGATTCAAAAAGTTTCAATTTTTCTCTCGAAAAAACAATGATAAGCTTTTTTTCGACCAAACGATGAAAAATGATTTTATTAAAATGCTGAAATTTTCAATTTTTCTCTCGGAAAATGCCAATCATACAATTTTCATTCATGAAAACTATATGATGAGCAAGTTTTCAATTAATTGTTCATCAGATAACTATCAAAATGACCTCAATATTCAAATACTCATAATATTGTCAAAATAACTCACTTTAAACTTATTTTGAATGGTTTTTAAATAATTTACTTGTCCATGAAGTTTCATAAATTAAAATGTTTAATAAACATTTTTTTCATGCAAAATTGAATTTTTTTTTGATGACCAGTAACCTTTAAGATCGTCGAGTAGAGTAGACCACATATCTAAATCAAAATTCTTT